AGGCTGCGAACTTTGTTCGCAGAGTTAGGGGCTGGTGACGAAGCAGGCATTACGTTCTACGCATTTGAGGAGAAAATGCACGATCCAGCAGTGCGCGAGTATTTCGAAACTTTGGGCATCAACGTGTATGATGCATGGTCCTTTTTCAAGTTGCTGGATGCAGATGGCGGCGGGTTTGTGGAACCTGAGGTGCCTTGTTGAACATTGTTTTGTTAAGCTTTCGGTTCTGCAGAAAGCCCCGTCTCATGTTCAAACTTGGTTTTTTAGCGGTCAGGAATTCTTCAGAGGCTGCTTAAAATTTCGTGGCCATGCCAGAGCAATCGAAGTGGGCAAGGTTCTTCAAGATCAGCAATGGCTGATAAGGACGCTGCAAACTTGAGTATTTTGAACACAAGAACTTGTTGGAATCAAACCTTTACACCGCTGATAAATGATCAAGGTCACGTATTGCCGGCATTGCCATGTTGTTGCCCATCGGCCGTGAAACGAATCGATCAAACTAATTGTAGAACATTTTTTTGGTGCGCACATTGCTTAGTAAAGCACTGCCTGGGCCTGGGGGCGTTATGAGGGTCCTAGATCCTTAGATTTTGTCAAATGCGCGTTGAGTCCCCTTTGCCCGGTGTGACCTTGCTAGGATTATAGGATGTCGGTTGGCGGTGGTGGTTATAACTATAAAAAACAAAGTACTTGCAGCCTAGTTCAGCAAACCAAACTAAATGTGACTGAGCTACGTATGAAATTTCTGGATTGAAGGAGCCAAAGCAAATTCCAGGCGTACGTTGAGGAAGAGCTCCATGCATTGAAGGGGCATATTTTTGCCTTGTCGGAGATATTTGCCTCACGTCCGCTTGGCCGGCGGAAGGGGTCAAAGGAAACAGCTCGATCCCGTGAGCTTTAATACAATTCTAGTGGTGTTTCACAGCCTGATGTGCACGAAGAATTACCCAGCTAAGCTGGTTTTGTGCAGTGTGTGAGAATCGATGCATTGAGAAAGAGGGGCAGGGCATTGATGCACCGCCACTTTTCCACTGTGGTTGCTTAATGTTTGCCTTTCTCAACAGTGACCGTACCGTTTGAGCAGATGGGTGCCGAAGATATAGATTTTGTGTTTCTTGGGCTAGAAATTGTTAAAGATGCTGACGGCTGGGAATTGTTGAGGCCATGCTCAAAGTCAGGAGATGATTGGGAACTGGTCCGACTTGGGTGGTATGTGGGTGGCTGGCAGCACACGGGTTGATTCGCCTGCCACACCGCGCTTTGAGCTCAAGCGACCTCCAAACCAGTAGCTGAGAAGGCATGAACATCCCGACAGAGCTACCTGCAGAATCGCTTGGCGCAAGGCACCACCTCGAAGAATGGCAGTGTGTAGACACTCCCTCCATGATTTTAACAATACATATATATATATATATAAGCCTTGCCGAGCAAACGTGCCCCATTTAAGGGTAAGGCTTGAAAAGAGAGCCATGGCAGCAGGCCCAGGGCAAGACAAGGCACAACATCCTCCAAAGTTCTTCAGATGTGACTTACTAAGCTTTTGCTGTATTGACGTGCCAGTGTATTCAGGCGGCTTGTAGGGAGCCCACGGAGGAGCTGGTGGCTCTCCGTTCGTTGTCCCAAAATCAGCACCAGGACGGGTGGTGCGAGCTTGGCTAGAAGAGCGAGAGCGCGAAAGAGAGATAGAGAGAGAGAGAGAGGGAGGGAGGGAGGGAGAGAGGGAGAGAGGGAGAGAGGGAGAGAGGGAGAGAGGGAGAGAGGGAGCGAGAGAGAGAGAGAGAGAGAGAGGGAGGGGGGGGGGAGGGAGAGAGAGAGAGAGGGCCAGAAGAGCAAGAGCATGTAAGACCTCCTTATTTATGGATTACATAGACATAGAGATGGATTTCATAGACATGGATTTCATTCCTGGGGGCTGCTTTAGGAGGTGCTGAAGGAGCTGGAGAAGCGGTTCACTGCATTAGAGAAGCTTATTTCGGAATCTTTCCTACAGCCCTATGCATATGCAAGTTCACCCTCAAGCCCAAGCTTTTGGATGGAGGGCCTTACAGACAGCCTCTCTGCATCTGATCCTACATCCAGACAGGCCATGGGATTGCTGGGATATTTTTTCATGTCCTTCTTTGGGTAGAGCAACTAGGATGGAGGCCATCGCTAGTAACGTGGAAAGAATGCGGGGTCACCCACACCTTGTTGGCACCTCGTATTCCCGCCAGGCGTCGGACAGAGTCAAAGCCGAGGAGGTTTCTCAGGCCCAAATGCTTCGGGTTTTGGTGGGTGCATATTCACAACCTCATGACCTACAGCAAGCCTTTAGCAATTAGATTCGACCACCTTACTCTAGACTCTAGTCTAGTTCAAGATTGCTTCCTTGCACCTTGCTGTCTTTTATCTTGAAATGGCACCTTTGTATTTTGTATATATATATAGTTTCCCCCTTTAAAACCAAAACAACCTATATACCATTACAATCCATTACATATTTATACACCAGCTCATGCTTTTCTATGTCTGCTTGCATTTGCAGCACCAGCTCCCGCAAAGAGTGCATCGCCACATTGCCAATGGTTTTCTTTCTCTTTCTTGGGTGTGAAAAGGCGCCCCGCACCCGGTGGCAGATGACCCTTGACTTCATTCCAACCTATTGTGCAAAGAGACACACACACAGACACGTGCAGGTGTCCCCCAATAGGAGGCATGCAGTTTGTCAGGGCGAAGGGTGACAATGAATAGTAGCGGAGGGTTCGTAATCACCTATGGCGGCAGTGATAAAATGTTCCCTCTTGGTATGTACAGTGCCCCACTCACGGCAGTTGCTCATACATAGAGGCAGAAGACCAAGACAAGATTTGGGGAAAGGATTATTTTTGCGGTTGGCCAGGATGACCCGCAAGAGGACTATACAACCTTCGCGGCCTTCGACGAGCAGCTAAAGTTGGGCACTCTCTCAGTTGATGCGAAGCTCAGTCGAAAGAAATTTGCCAATGCGCGGGGGCAATCAACTTTCACCAACGCTAGTCACCAACGGTGCAGAAAGAACTCTTGGGTGTCTGAGTTGGTTCGGCATCCTGGCTTCGATGCATTCTTTGCATGTGTTGTGGTGACCAATGCGGTTTTCATCGGCATCGATTTGGAGGTGAGCTTGAAACATTCAGATCCACGACCCTTGGGCTTGCAAATTGGCCAATATTTCTACACGGTCCTTTTCACCTGTGAGTTGGCTTTGCGAATGTCTGCTGATGGCTACCAGTTCTTTTGCACTGACGACTGGCATTGGAACATATTGGCTTCTTGGCAGCCATAGCCATAGGGTTTAAAAAGGTTTGTGAGTTTCTACACAATCTCACGCCCCTGATTGCATCCATGATCTCGATTTGTGCCTCAGGATGTTTTCATAGTCGTCAGCTCAATCTGGGAAGTTTGGGTCGATGTCAGCAATCAACTCCTTCAACAGGATTTGCAAAGCCTTGCCGGCGCCTCCAGCCTCAAAGCATTTCGAATCATTCGAATTACTCGCGTTGTCAGAACCGTGAGGATCATGCGCCTTTTCCGCTTTGTCATGGCCCTGCGTACGATGATCACATCTATTGCCTCGACGTTAAAGTCCCTGTTTTGGGCGACAGTGCTGCTGACGTTGATCATTTACGTGTTTGCGGTGCTGTTTGCTCAGAGTGTTAATGACTTTGATTGCTCCTCTTTGCAGGACAGGGAGCGCCTGGCTTGCCACAGGTATTTTGTGGATCTGCCGACCACAATGTTGAGCCTGTTCATGAGTATTGCTGGCGGTGTCAGCTGGGAAGAAGTCATCGGTCCACTTGGGGAAATCTCACCTGCATGGTCTGGCATGTTTCTGATCTACATAGGCTTTACCTATTTTGCTGATCCTTGGCTATTGAAGCTGTTGGACAAATTTTCTTTTCCTGTGAGTCAGATTTGGTTGCATTGAGTTACTTTCCTGGGGTGTGCTGACAAGCTAGGTCCTCAATGTTGCAGCTGGGCCAGGTTGGGCAAGTCTATTTGTCATTTTTTTAAAGGCTAAGGCGGCTAAGGCCTCAGGTGCACAAGAATCAGGCCCCGTTTGACACTGCCCTAAGGTAACGGCGACTTTTTGCCAGAGCGCCATAGATAGTGCGAAAAGCGATCATACGATGATGGTACAATCAATCCTAGATGACAAGGAGGCGCACTTGGAGAAGATCCGCGCACTCTTTAGCAAAATGTCATCTCAAGAACATGGAGGCATAACGTACGCAATGTTCCACGACAAAATCAACACTCCTGCAGTCCAAGAGTATTTTGCAACCCTTGGACTGGATGTTTGGGATGCATGGTCCTTCTTCAAGTTGCTGGACGCTGATGCTGGAGGCTCAGTTGAGATAGAGGAATTTTTGATGGGTTGCTTGCGGCTGCGTGGCCAAGCTACTGCAATTGATGTCGGCAAGATTTTGCAGGACCAGGAATGGATGATCAAAAGCCAAGATAAATTTTATCGATACATGGATCGCGCAATTCAAAAGATAAAGATGGAAGTCGCCTCCCTATATGCCAACCCGCCTTTGGACCAAAGGTTTAGATGTAAAGATTTGTGAGCATTCAATGATGGTGCATGATTCCCTTTCAAAGCAGTGCCAACATCCGAAGCTTTTGGAAACCAACAGCTCGGAAGAAATGTTTCACCCTTGGACACCTGTGGGTAGCCCACAAGTCCTATGTACGAATGGATGATTGCTGGCTCAGCAGGCCCTGTTGAGAGCAGTCAGGGCTCGACTGCTACGCTGGACACAAATCGAACCAGCTGGACACAAAGTCAACCTCTTCACGGCGAGAAAAAACATGTTGTGCCCTGTCGGGCTTTGTCAGGCCGTTTGGGAATACTGTTCACATACACATAGATAGGTATTAGTATGTATTAGTAAATATATATATATAAATATGTATTGAATATGAATTTGTATATTATGTTTCTCTCACTCTTGCGCAAGCGAAGCTCAGCATTTTGCTAGGCCGCCCGGATTGGACTGAGCGCAGTTGCATTGGCATTGGACACCTGGCTGCACCTCAGACTTCTGTCTCTTGAACTGAACATGCGTTCTGGAGGGCAAATCACTTTTAGCAGGTAGCAGTGTTGTGCTTAAAGGCAATGCAACCAAAGAAAAGCAAGCTCGGGGGGTCGGGGGACCCTTGAAAAACTGCAGGTTTAGTTTGGTTTGTTGAGTCTATTCTTTCTTTCGCCGCTGCTGGGCTTGGATGGTTTGCTTGAGCACTCGTCCTTCATGAATTCTCACTGAATCTGTACGCTGTAACCTTTACCGAACTTTGCGTGGTCTCATTTTTTTCACATGTTGTACCCTGGGTTGAACCACTCCACCCCTTTTTCTCATCTCATTGTCCTACTCCAGCCGTTTCCGATGCTCTACTAGCTGCAACTTTTTTGTCAAAGTAATTCTTTCAATGAACCCTCACGTCATCCCTCCTCACAAGTGTTCCTCCGTTCAAGGCTAGCAGGTTTTCTGTGAAGACCTGAGCCAGTTCAGGAAAGCTCTTTGCCTTGGCACTGCGAAACATACCAGATCCTCCTCCCCTAGGCGTTTGGCTGTGTTCGAACCAAAAGACATGAGGGAGTGGTTTTGCATGCGGAGTGCTTTGCTCCAGATCGCCCGCCGCTGGTTCTGGGAGGGGCTTTGCCAAAGCCTGCATTTGGCCAGATGTCTCCCACAATGCCACCCACGTTGGAGCCTCAGACGCAAACATTTCGAGTGCCAAGAATTCAAAGCTTTTCCAGGTACACCATGATGCCCACAATCCCGGATTCTCAATGGGGCCAGCCACCTGTTTCTGGACCAGCTGCACCCACAATGTCCAAGGAGCAGATGCAAAGGCAGGGAAGAGACATAGACAATGTACTGAACATTTTGTTTGATGCAACATATTTGAGATCTTGAAGATATGGTCAAGCTTGTGGGGCAAGGATGTTGGATCCTTTTCAGAGATTCCTCATGCGGCCAGATCAGGCACCGGGCTGTGGCTTAGGATGAGTGAGCCCTTGCTATCCATGTTCTGCTCCCTTGGAGAGCCTGAATATTCAGCAGTATCCACCGGACTTGTTTGAGGTTTGCCAGCAGCTCTTTGTCGCTATTGGTGCGAGCACTCGGGTGGAAGGACAAACGAAGTATTGCGTGCTGCAAAGAGAGCCATTGGCGGTATGTTCTGCAATCTCGAAGGACTCCTGCGCAACTCCTACAAGACCTCCTTCCGTATGCCGACGCCTGGCATGACACTTCCAGCCAAGGACACCCTAGCCGCAGTGCTCCCAACCACTGATACAATGTGCACACTTAGTTCACGTTGTTCCGTAGTATTTGGTTTCCAAGCTGGAAGTTTGCTGACCAAAAGCGCCAGGATGATGCTGTTCTTCGGGCGATGCAGCAGGCGAAGTGTGTGACAATGAATGCTGTTCCTGGAGCTGTACTTGGTTTGGATGCTTACTGGCTCCTGCATGATAAATTTTTGAAGCTTAATGACAACCTCTTACCGACTAGAGCCAGACTTCCAGACTTCTAGACCCACCTACAGGCAGCTGACTTCAGGAAAATCGCGACAAAGGCAGCTGTGGGTGGGATGCAATGGAGTGGCCGCCAGGGTCAGGAGACGATTCAACATTGGGTTCCCAAACCAACAGGCCTTCAAAGACTGCAGGCTTGGTTTTGAAAGCACCACCGCAATCAATCACCAGCGTGATTTGCATCGATGTGCACTGCTTATTAGGCCTGACCTGCCTGTACAAGCTATCGTTGTGGTCGACGGCTTGCCCCGAGTCCCCAACAGTTACTGCAGCAGTTAGCAGAGACGTGTAAATTAGAGAAGAAGAGGGAAAGGAGAGAAAAGAAGGAACACGAAGGGAGGAGAGAGAATGTACAGTAGAAGCAGTGAGGCTGAGGCGTTGTTGCGTGGGAGGCAGATGTTAGAGAAGTGATGAGAAGTGCAGAGACAGTTTGGAGATAGATATATAGATAGATAGATAGATAGATAGATAGATAGTGTAAAACTCAAGCGACTGATGGAACCATGGTTGATCCCAAACCTGCACCTGACGAACGGCTCGAACCATAGGGCCATAGGGGCCGTATCCTGATCCAACCCTTTTCGAGCTTTTGCCACGCTATGGAGAGGAAAGCGCTTTAGTGGCTGCGTGGTCCGAGGGTACAACAGTGGTACCGCGGAGCCGAGGTGCTTTGATCCGGGAAGTGCGAGAGTTTCGAGATGAGTGGAGGAGAAGAACACAAATCCCGAGGGCCTGAACGCTTTGCTGCTGCGAGTGCGAGTACGACGGGTACCAGAGAGGCTGGGGGCTCGGGGCGCTAGAGGGACTTCGCGCCGGGCTACGACGGGGAGACCCCGGAGACGACCTTCCGGCAGTGTGAGAAGCAGGTGCAGCTTTGGGAATTTGAAGCAGAAGTGGCCAAAGCAAAGCGGGGCGTAAAGCTGCTGCGCCAGCTGACTGGGGTGGCAGCAGTCGCTGTCGACGAGCTCGAGGTGAAGGACATCGCATGCGAGGACGGCGTGAAGAACGTCCTCAACAAGCTTCGCGAGTACTTCCTGCCCCACTTGGAAGTGTCGCTGCCACGAGCTTTCGAGACGGCGGCGTATGGCCCGCAAAGAGGCCACAAAGAGAGCTTCACTGAGTGCACCAAGCGCATGGAGCGGGCGTTCATGAACCTGGCGAAGGAAGGGGTGGACTTGCCCTATGGGTGCAAAGGGCTGCGGCTACATATGTTCCGCTAGGCCGCTCTCAACGAAGCGCAAGAACAACGGCTTCTCACCTGGGCGGAAGGGAAGTATGGCCGTTCGGAGATCACGCATGCGCTCCGAAGGCTGGACAGGTCATCCGGGACAAGGACAAGGGCAAGAGCAGCTACTGTATGTCATGCGTGTCGTGTTCAGCTGGAGGCGTGCAGCAGGGCGACCCGCTTGGACCTCTCTTCTTCGCTGCAGCCATACAAAGCCTTGCTCAGGAACTTCGGCGTGGCCTCGACATTGGGATGTTCTACTTGGACGATGGGGTCCTCGCAGGCGACGTGGCGGCGGTGTCAGCCGCCTTGCTCCACCTGCAGCAACGGGCTGCCGCCCTTGGGCTTACTTTGAACCTTCGCAAATCAGAGGTGATTGCGATGGCTGGCGCACCAGATACAGTCCTTCAACGATACTTCCCCCTAGCGCTTTTGCAAGATCAAAGTGGGTGCACTCGGGTTGCCAAGCACTTCGAAGTACTTGGGGCACCAGTCGGCGACGACGCCTTCTGCGCCCAGCACACTGAAGGGGGCCAGCCAACTCTTGGATGCGGTTGCTGACATCGATGACCCTCAAGTTGGCCTCCGCCTCTTGCGAACAGCTGCGGGGCATTCCAAGCTGCTCCACAGCCTTCGCTGTGCCCCGCCAGGTCCACAGTGACAGCAAGAAGCCCTCCGCAACTTTGACGTACAGGTTCGCAGTTGCTTCCAAGCCTTCACTGGTTTACACCCTGAACCTCAACAATGGGAGCAAGCCTCCCGCAGCCCAGGCTTTGGTGGCTTGGGCCTCCGAAGCGCAGCTGCAGACAGCGCCGCGGCCTACCTGGCTTCCCTTGGAGGCAGCTCGACAGCATGCGTAGGGCTGGATGGGGCCTACACACTGGTGGCAGACAGCCACGCGGCTTTGGCCTTGGCCATCTACAACAGCCAGCTCGGAACATCAGAGAATCTCACCTTGGCGACAGCTCTCGGGATGAAACAAAAAGCTTTAACCCAGCAGCTGGACCGGGCGTCCTGGACACGACAACTAGCGTCTTCCACCTTGGCCGCCCAAGCAATCCTGCGATCTGAAGCTGAGGCGGGAGCTCGCGCGTTCCTGGCCGCGACGCCGAGTGGACGAACGCGAATGGAGCCAGCTCTCTTCATCACCGAACTGAGCCAACGCCTGGGAATGACCGAGGCTAAAGCCAGTGAAGGCTGAGGAAAATGTCTGCAGGCGATGGCTGCCACACTCTCGTCGTGGGGCAAGAGAAGCCCAGGCTTCTCTTTTTCAGGCTTCAGCCCAGCCAGGTCAGTCCATAAGAACAAGTGATCACGCAGGGCATTGTGCCGCTGGACACGCTCACCCCCAGCCACACAGCTGGCAGAGTGGTAGGAGAACTTGTCCAAGACCGCATCACATTGGGGGCACCATCCATCATGGGCCCCACCGCCCTTGACCTCGCCGTTACGGCGCCTCTGCGGTCGGAAAGCTTAAGCGAAGCTGGCACAGTGGCCACCGCGGCAGCAGCAGCCTATGCCCAGACCAAGGCTGCCCACCTTGGCGCAGCAGCGGAGTGTGCCCGGCAGGGCATCTTCCGACCGCTGGTCTTGGAAACAACTGGCGCGTGGGAGGCGGAGGCCGCCTCCCTCCTCCGCAGGATCTCGGGAGCTGTGGCTCTACGAACCGGCCAGGATGTTTCGCAACTTCACAGCCGGCTCTTGCAGGAAATGTGCGTGATTGCGCGTACGCATCGGGCTCGAGCTGTGCTTCGCCGCCGGATGGGGCTGGCCCTGGCACCTGGAATGGATGCTGTGCAGCGCTTCGGCTCCTGAGAGTGGCGGGCCATTCTTTCTTCGGCCCATCTGCCAGTGAGGGGATCGCGCCCTTGGTTTACCCTTGCCTGGCTTTTTCTGAATAGGGGCGTGGGTGACGCCGCTCTTTTCCGGTGCGTTCCCATCTTGGGCCTTTGAACCCTTTTTGCAAGCCCCTGCTTCCAACAACTGGCGCAAGCCGTGGTTGCTTGGACGGCTGGGGCTTTGGGTTTTTGCCAATGCCGCCCAGGTTGAGGGACTTGGGTGGCCCCTTTTCCTGCTAGGTTTTCTCCGCATCGGTGCTCCTTCTTTATGTCTCACTTGTACAGTGGTGGGCAGGGGTGACCGTGTATAGACCCCCTCCACACAAGGATGCTAATTGCGTGCTTTTTTCTCACGAGGAGAACTATGTCCTTGAGAATGCCTCCGGTGGCCACTATGACCTGGACGATGACGGCTACCAGGATGGATTGGAGACGAGGAGAATTACTGTACAACTACCTCGCGGATGGAGACCTTGATGAAGTGATGGATGAGCAAGAGGTCGTGCAGGCCCTGGCCGCTTACAATGATACCGATACCCGTCAGGCGCTGAAGGATCTGCGTTTGGCCCGGGCTACTTTCCCGGCAAGGGCAAAGGCAAGATCAACGCCTTTCAGAAGGGCAAGGGCAAAGGCAAGCGCCGGGTGCATGTAGAGCAGCTGAAGTTGAGGACCCGCTGCAGGCGATGTTTGCAGGTCAGGTCGGGCATTGGGAGAGAGAATGCCAAAATCCCCGAGCATCTCAAGCAGCAAAGGCAGAAGGTCAAGCGTTCTTTGTTGGACTACACCCTGAGGGCCAGAAATTTTCGAGTGAGCCGCACCAGTTCTGGCTTCGCCAATTTGTTCAAGACCAGCGAGCCAACAAGGGCCCTGTCGCTGAAGATCGTGGAGATATACATGAAGCGGGCATGTATGGTCGACGAGGGCGACGTTCCATTTTGCGGGATAACCACAAAAGTCGCAGTTCGAGGACTTCGAATCAAATGGGTGCCCAAACAATCCTTTGCCAAAGGAGTAGGGGGCAGTGCTGTGGTCGAGTGCGTTGCATTGATACCATTGGGTATCGGGGGAGTCAACGGTGTTCTTGAAACCACAGTCGTTCAAGGTGATTCGACTCCTTCGTGCACTCGCGGTCACAACCGATTTGAAGCACATGAGCATGACGCTTCAGTCTCACGGTGTTTCAGTTCCACTTCATGGGATGGCTAGCGGTCATGTGACAGTCAACGTTCTTTCATCTGCGAACAACAAGTTCATTGTGCCACCGGAAGCGGGACTTCAAGAAGAATTTGAACTGGAGACTTCATGTTTCGCGACTTCAGCAATGCCAGCTCACGACGATCTCCACCACCGAGGATCAGCAGGAACTGCCAATGTGGGAAGCCGGCCGAATAACCACTGGTGGTGAAGAAGGACGGTCCCCGCAAGGGCCGGATGTTCTGGAAGTGTGTCAGGGGCGGTGCGACTTCTTCGAGTGCATGGACGAGAAGGACCAGCTGGACATCGAGGATGCGAAGACGGCGACTTCATCCCACAATTCAAGGCGGTCCAAGAGACCAAGGAGGGATGCAACATCACCACTGTGCCAGAGCTGGTCGAGGGTGTCTGTCACCAGCAGTCGGGACCTCGAGAAGCCGGTCAACCTGGACGAGGACTATAGAGCAAGATGGCTGGGTCAAGTGCAACCATCGGAAGACTATCCGGTGGGCACGGAGGGCTCAGGCAGGCCAAGACCCCATGTACCACGCGCAGGAGACCTTCTGGAGCATCGACAAGCATGGCAACTGGACACTGAAGTGGCAGCTGAGGCGTGGGGGTGCAATTCTGTTCGAACATCCTGATGGAGCGACCTCTTGGCAAGAACCCGAGCTCCAGTCGCTGGCGGCCACGGTGTCAAGACAGTGGTATGCGACCAATGCATAAGATCTTGCATGTTCGGGATGAATGAGGACTCGCTGGCTTTCCAACATGCCTCCAGTTCTCAGGGCTCTGGACGTTCGCTGCGACCAGACCCATCATCACCAACATCTCATTGGAGGCAAAGCAAAATGGGCGCAGGTCTACCCAGACAGACTATGCCAGGCAGTCGCCAAGGCCATTGTCGAGTACCTCGGAAAGCCAGCTCCAGCGTGCTATGTCCTCGAGGATGTCGAGGACGAGGAGGAAGATGAGCCGGGCGCAGTGGAAGATGAATGCCCCGGCTATGCAGAGATCTCGGAAGCAGAGAAGAGGGCGTGATGAAAGTCCACAAAGCCGTGGGACATCCTCAACAGAGGGAGTTTGTGAGATTCCTACGGGCCGCCAGGGTGCCGGGCGAGATCGTGCAGTGGGCCTCCAAAGAGTTCAAGTGTGACATCTGCGAGGCCAAACAACATCCGAAATTCCAAGGCCGACTGCGTTACCTCGTGCGTACCAACCAAATCGGGTACTAGGCCTCGACCTGTTCTACGTCCCAGCGCCGGGAGACGGCAAGCAGACCGCCCCGGTTTTGAACATCTTGGACTGGGGCACCAACTACCAGATGTGTGAGGTGATCACCGGAAACACCTCGAGAAGGTATGGGATGCCTTCATGGCCACCTGGGCGAGGACGTTCGGGCCCCCAGAGGTCATCACCTGTCTCGGTGAGTTCATCAAGAAGGCGGCCGCAGAGGGCATCGTTGTGCACCAGATCGCCTCCAAGGCTCCGTGGCAACAAGGAAAGACCGAGCGCCATGGTGGGCGCTTCAAGGAACTTTTTGGAGAAGGCTCGGAGCGAGGTGGTCGTGCAGGACGCGAAGGAGCTGAAGTCGAACAGACAAAGAACCGGTATTCAAACCGGCGGTCCGGTTTCACCAACCACAGATCGGACAATGGCCCAGGCTTCCATGCAACTGCGATCATCCTATCTGATGAGATGGTGGATCCCACGCTGCTCGACGGGGTGATCTGGGACGACATCGAGCGCTTGCGCCACATGAGGAGAGTGGCCCACAAAGCTTTCTGTGAACATAACGCCAAGAACACCTATACCAGAAAGCCCTCAGAGCACGACCAAGAACCTGGACCGAATATCGAGCTGGAGAGTACGCGTTCGTGTGCCGTGTGCCTTGCCTAAAACGGCGGCGTCGTCGACGACACGAACTCGTCAACCAAAGCCAGATGGGGTGGGTCCAGGAGTCGTCGTCACACCAGACGGGGCGAACCTGTGGGTGTCTATGATGGGGGCACTGTGGAAGGTGGCGCGGGGATCGAGGCAGTGACCAGTGAATGCCAAGAACTCATAGAAGAGTTCAAGCGCGGGTCTCACCAAACGGGCTTCAAGGACATCACCATGGAAGAGTTTCCTCCAGAAGAAGCAGAGCAAGAAGAAGCTCCTTTATCCCGTGCAGGCAGTGAGACTGGGGAGTACCAGAGACACCACCAAGACCAGGAACCCCGGCTACACCGAGAACCATCGCAGGAGGTCTGACGAACGTGCCAATCGTTTGGATGGTGTGGCCAACCCACCAAATGGCCCAATCTATCGTTGGCAACAACGAGCAGGAAGACATGATCACTTGGCACCATACTACGAGCGGGCTGAATGGTTCCTGGCGGAGGAGGAAGAGTGCACCGAAGAGACAGACCTGGCCCGGGAGTCCACATTGAAGAAACTCATAAACCTGAAGAAGGAGAAAGACTTTCTGGACGGTCGATTGGGGGAAAGTTGAACTGGTGAGACATCACCAAAGGAGGAGGAAGGCAAAGTTCGACCCAATCTACAGTCGGGATTCGCCTATACCCCATACCATGCTCATGGAGAAGAGGGTGACTCATGTCAAGAACCAGAGTGGGCCGCCAGCGGAAGAAGATGACTGGCATCTTCCCAAGGTGAAGTTCAAGGAGGAATGGTGGCGGGGCCACACCACGTTCTACATCCAGGACATCGAAGACGCCCGGAACTACGTGGCGGAGAAGCGTGGGCAAGATGAGGTGAGCCTAACCAAGGAGAGCGACCATGACAAAGAACAATGGAAAATTTCAGACCTCTCAGAATGGAACCAGGTCACTCAGAGTGGAGGGTCACTCAGAGTGGAGCAGTCCAGGCACTAGATCTGGAGACGTCGCGACAAGTTAGGACCGAGCTCCGACAACAAGGACAAGAAGACCGGATCCTCCCCACAAAGATCGCCAGGAGGTACATGCCAGGAGAGCAACCTGGAGAGCCGCCGACGAAGAAATCCAGGCTACGCATCAGGGGATTTAGATCCGGACATCCTGGACCTGGAGAGGTTTTCGCCCACCTTGAACACGGTGAACTTCAATGTGATTCTGCAGCTAGCAGCCAATGAAGGGATGTCAGCCACAGTAGGCGACCTGAAGAATGCATTCTGCCAAAGCCAGCCTCAGCAGCTGAAGGAAGGGGTGGTTGGGCTTCACCCCGAACAGATAGTCATGATACCATAGCCGGGTGCTATGGACTGGTGGACGCACCTTTGCACTGGCGTCGCTCCTTGACCGAAGACTTGCAAGCCTTAGGGTACGAGCAGTCGGCATTGGACCCTTGCGTCATGAAGCTTTACAACAAGGCTCGTACCAAACTTCTAGGAGCAATCGCCATTGAGGCGGATGACTTGTTCACCGTTGGCCACGCCGAACACCGCCGGAAGATGGAGCTGCTCCGGAAAAGGTATACCTTTGGAAAATATGTGCACCTGCAAGGGGGCTTTTTGCTGGACATGCAGAAGTTCATTGAGAAGCGCCTGAACCAAGTGTCTTTGGAACGAGGACGACGAGCAGACAAGAAGTCGAAGGCCACGGACCACGGAAAATGAGATCAGCGACGCCAGAGCTGTCTGTGGGGCTCTGAACTGGTTGAGCCGTGAAGGCCGTCCAGACGCTTCAGGACCTTCAAGCCTGATGGTGTCGAAATTGTCGAAGTTGACCGTGGAGGACACCGCAGATCCAACCGCTCAAAAGAATGCCACTCAGTGTGGTGACCAATGCCTCCTCCGCCAACAGGGGATTCCACTCACAAGAGGGTCACCTGGTTCTGGCGCATGAAAGCCAGTTGGGATGGCCACTCCGTGCCGACCAACATTGTGGCATGGAGGAGCGGGAAGCTACAGAGGATCGTTAACTTGACCCCCGCTGCCGAAACTCAGAGCTTGTCCCGAGGCTTGGCTGAGCTTCTTTGGATCATGGTGATGGTGCAGGAGCTCCAGGACGGGAACCTGGCGTGAACGCCTTGAGGTGAAGAGCTGCTGGTCATGGGCTCGGAAGCGAGTGAGGGCTTCCTGGAGGAGTCCCTGACTGTGGTTGATGCAAGGTCGTTGTACGACCACCTTTCAAAAGAGGACAGCGTCGGGGGCCAGGACAGACAAACCGCAATCGAGATCCAGAGGGGGAGAGATCAAATGGGTCGATCACTTGGCCATGCCGGTTGATGGGCTAACAAAAGTCCAAGGTTCAAATGCCGCCCTGCGTGACCTGATGAAGACAGGTCTTTTTAGCATCCGCCCGACCGAAGAACAGATGAAACGGAGGGCAGCCGCCCGCGAAGCGGGACAGAGCAGTTTCGAAATCAGACGGTGTGGGAACAAGGAAAAATCTAGGAGCTGTGAAGCTCAAGCGACTGATGGAAAAATGGTTGATCCCAAACCTGCACCTGACGAACAGCTCGAACCATTGGGGCCACGCTATGGAGAGGAAAGCGCTTTAGTGGCTGCGTGGTCCGAAGGCACAACAGATAGATAGATGGATAGATAGATGGATAGATGGATAGATGGATAGATGGATAGATGGATGGATAGATGGATAGATGGATAGATAGATAGATAGATAGAGCTGAGATAGATAGATAGATAGATAGATGGATAGATAGATAGAGAGATAGAGAGAGAGAGAGAGAACCCCAAGAACTGCTGTGAAACAAGATTATGAAAGCCACTGCAGACTTAAAGTTGTCAATCCAAGGGAGGCCAGAAGGACCTTTCAAGGCTGCAAGCTGGCAGGAGTGGTCACAAATGACAAGAGTGGAGTCGGCGTGGAGTGGGTCACGGTTGGGATACTGGGTACATTGTGGGGGTTGTGCATGCCGCAGATGGTCCCAAATACAAGCTGGTAAAGACATGTAAAGACAGGTTGAACAGATTGTTGTTGTCCCTGCAGAACTTTGCGCAATCCTGTCTGCGATCCCGTGCCACCAACGCGCCGGCCTTTTGTTTGCTTGCTGCGGGCCGCAACCTGCGCTGCCCCGCCATTTGTGCGCATCTCCGCCCTCCGCTCTCCGCTTGCTGCAGCCTGCTTGGCATGAACTGGCCGAGCGCACGCCTGCCAGTGGTGGCTGGGTCGGGCACATGCAGGTGCAGTGGCTCGCATGTAACATCAGATGCTACCTTCAGGGTGCTTTCTTCGAGGCGGCTTGTGCCAGCTAGGGCACAACGTGATACAAAATGCGCCACCAGCACGGCAGGCCTTGTCACCGTGTCTTGTTTCATCCTCCTCTTCCGCCTCGTAGCTGCAGATTGACATGGCAGAGGGATGACATGTAAAGTGGATGTAGGATTGAAAGTGCAACGTGCAGTCGCATAATCGCATACATTTGAAGGCTGAAACTGAAATTCTTCATAAATGTCATACATCAGATTCTGGTCGGGCAAGATTCCAAATAGGTAGGAAGAAGGAAAAAACAACCTCCTGTCAAAAAGGGAGGAGACCAGTGTAATCGCCCATGGTTCCAGATAGATAGGTAGATAGGTAGACAAGTGGATGGAGAGAGGTAGATAGGTAGGTAGACGGATAGACAGATAGACAGATAGATACATAGACAGATAGACAGATAGATAGATAGATAGATGGATGGATAGATAGATAGAATGGACATGAAAAGTCAGGGTCCGATACGCAAGTATTTCAAGAACCCAAATTTGCTTTTGCGGGACAAGAATCTCCAAGAATGACCATTGGGAAGCGCATGGATCCCACACCCGTTTGTGAGCCAGGGCGAATCTTCAAAGTTGCATGGAACTCAGTTGGTTATCCTCGTTCGGAGCGCAGAATCGGGCGGTCGAAATTGTATGATGAAAGGGACCGAAAGGGCTTCAGAAAGTGCACGCAATGCCCCACCTGATGCCAACCGAGGCGCCAAACCAAGGCAGCCGCTGCCTTGACACAGGAGAATCTTCCCACGGAAGGTTTGCCACATGCATCGGACTACAACCCAAAGGTGGCTTCTTGCACGGCATGAAAACATGGCTGTGCTCATCCATCTCCGATGCCTGTCCTCTTCCCTCTCAGAGAGCATGTGCCGGTCAGGTAACCGTTTGGCGGGCTCTGAGCCGCCCTCAAGAGCCAGTCGGATGAGTGGAGATCATATGGAGTGCTGCAAAGTTTACTAAGTAGGGCGATACTAGCTGCATGTGAGTACCCTAGGGCAAAATCCAGACAAAAATCGCCACTGTGGTGTGGTCTTGCATTCACGTCCAGGACAAGCAAACCTCTTTGGTTTTGAACCGCCGCCATTAGTTGCTGAAGCGGGGGATTTGGTAGGGTGTGTTTCATGTGTAGCCTCCACTTTTTCGTGAAGCCGAAGAGGTGGGACTGTCTGATGTTAATGCTGGGCGCTCTTCACCTTGACTTCATCGTTGCAGGTGATGACTTCCCTGTTTGCAGGGAAGCCAGCCATGCTGGCATTCCTGCTGATGTCGAAATTGTGGCTTATCCGCATTCAGCAAACAGTCTTTGTTCTATTTAATATTTTGTTCGTGTTGGTCTGGCTGCGTGCTGGTGGCAGGAGTCATGGCCAAATGGCAGTTGTCCACGACCTGAAAGCGGTCGGAGACTACTATGTGCCATTGGAGCATGTATGTGACGGATACCAGGAGCAGTGGGACAACTGCCCAGGCACATGCAGCACATGCGCACTGTGGCATTGCAAACTTGCTCTATCGGCCGTCATAGACGGATAGTCTTTGATGTTGAGTCTTGAAGGTTTGGTAGTTGATACAACCTGCGATTTCCATGCGTTTACTTGTGAAAGCTGCGTAGTCCCAAGAGCGGATTGGAACAGAGTCGACTCTTTGTTTTGTTCAGACCTTGACAAGTGCGGGCCCTGCACGCGCGGACCTCAGCGGGACGCTGTCGTTGGGCCGGTTTGAAGCTGTGTCAGGCCCACCTTAGAAGATTCTTAACTTGGAATATATAGAATATTCGATCGTCGATCTTCCGCTTGCATAGAAACTGATTCCGGGAGAGACCCGAACCAATTTCATCAGCAAGAAGTGTTGTGGTCGTGGATTCACACATGTCATCGGCACCCTGCACCCCCGCCCACTTAGCCCTCCGAGCAATACAAGAAACCATCAGAACAGCAGCAAGAAGCCAACAGCATAGGAGGGTTGGGGTGGAGGCCAGCGCTCTGAGGTTCCTTTTGCTATTAGGTTGGAGGCCATCGCTACTAGGGTGGTTGTTATTCTTCTGTGTGACCCGTTGGACAGGAGGACAAAACCTTTGTGCATGCGCGGTCAAGCGGTGGACCACACCCTTCGATGGCAAGTCTTGTCTAACTGTCTTCGGCAGTTGAGCGATCTGACTGAGGCCTCGTGATTGTGTTCTGGGCCCTTGGAGCCCGTGGCAGCTTCAAGGTGGATGCACGGGCCTACAGCTGCGCCATCGTGAGGTGGAGGCCTGTTTTGCATGGTTTTCAGATGTCGAAGGGTTTGGCCAAATCTGTTTGATGCTTAGGGCTTAATATCAAAAAATATCAAAAAATAATTGAGATGCATTCTGGATCCTGTCCTGCAGTCTCGACCTGATACAACTCCAAGACCTGTTAGGTCAACCACAATCACTGCGGCAAGCCTTGCTTTGGAGTTCTGACTGAAACCGCCTCTTTCGAGCAAGCTGACAGCTGCAAGCCGAAGGGCCAAGATGCTTGGCTAAGAACCAAAACTGCGACATTGCAAAGACCAAACAATCACTTGCCAAGGCACCCATGGCATGTAATTCAGTATATCAGTTCTTTTGGTCATTAGTCTTATGTAGTCGTTTCAAAACTGGTGTGCCAAAAAAGGACTGCAAACTTGGATCTTGGGCCATGTGGAGCACCTGCCAGAATGAGAAGGACTCAAGCTGCAGTGGACAGTATAAGAGTACCTCACATAAGACTAGCAAGACATTCAGGGTGCGATAATCCTTGCACAGGATCAGCAGTTCAGGAATCGGTCCGTGGTAATTTATCCTCAAGAAGGTGGAAAAGACTGTGAAGGGGCCTTGGAGGACGCAGACTGCCAGTTTGATGGAGTCAAGTGAAAGAAATGTCAAGGCTCGCCGCCGAGTCTTTAGATTTAAATCGCATTGAATCGATCAAGCTCAGCACGGGCCCGAGGAGACAAAGCCATGTGGTGGGCCAAAGGATACCAACTGCCACGTCGGGGATTGGCATGAATGGACCACCTGTAGTTCAGTCTGCGGAAAAGGCAGGCACACACGAATGCGAAGCCCGGCGGCACTTCCGATCTGGAGGTGGCAAGCCAGACATTGGAGCAAAACTGTGTTGAGCACCCCACTAAGGATATGTTGTCGCAGAGGCTCACCATGGTGGAGAGCCTTGCAATCTAGATCTGTTGGAGACTGCAGAGTGTGAGGTAGGCAACTGCGAGTCAAGTCACGCGGCCATGATTTCTTAATAGTCTTAGTCTTAGTTCAGGTGCTAACGTGCTTTGCAGGCAAGGTATGTTCTTTTGCCTTTCGGTCTTCTGGGAGTTGGGAGGTGGGAATTGTAGGCTAGAGCGAGTACCGTAGAGGCCTTCCATGAGCTTCCTGCTTTCGCCGAGGCTCTGACTGTGAACTTACTGAATGGAGCGAATGGACTCTTTGCGACGAGACTTACGTCCAGTCCTACCGTCGCCGTGAGGCAGGTGGCGGAATTGGACGGGGCAGCTGCGAAGTCCTGAAGTCTTGAAGTATATTCTTCTAAGTTGGGCCCAAAATGATTAAGGAAATGATTCATCAATATGCATTGTGACACTTGTTAATTTTCCAGTCCAGTTTTTTTTGGGGTCAGGTCATCAAGGAGCCGGAGGGCAAGGGCCAGCTTTGCAATGCCAGTCATTAGCCTAAGGAATGCTCGGGCTTTGCTGCGTCTCATTCCCTCTCGTGTCAAAAAATCCAAACACGTGTCAAACAGATGCAATTGGCAACGGAGGGCATATGTTACAGGCAGACGGACGGACAGAGGGACGGATGGACAGACAGACAGAGACAGAAAGACATAGGCGTAACGTAGTACCATTTTCAGTACCCTTTGACAACTTGGATTTTTTGTTGAATGTTTTCCTTTGCGCATGTTCTCTTCGTTGGGCCCTGTGTGATCAGGTCTCAAAGAGACGATCGGCTGTGTGCCAACGGTCCCCACCGACTGTGAGCTTGCTAGCTGGCGGCCTTGGAGCCCATGTGACTGGGCTAAAAGGAGACACAAAGAGCTTGGAAGAAACAGGTAAGGCCCTTCAATGAGGTTTTACCTTTCGTTTTTCATCTCTATGTTTTATTCTTGGCTTTCTGCTCCAGAATTGCATCGTGTCTTCAGAGCAGGTGCCCCTTCCCCTAACTGATGTAAGCAGTGGCTCAGGATGTTAGGCTAGTCACAATCAAGCCACAATCAAGCAGAGGCAAAGTGGATGTTACATATTGGTAGCTTTACCTACCAGTGTGTGGGTTGTCTCGGCTTTGGCCTGGCCTCGCGGTCATTTCTGCAGCCACCACGAATGCTAATTAAACAGTATCAGTATGAACATATAGTGGATCACAGATAGATGGCATAAGTCCAGCACCTATTAAAAGACCATCTCTAAGACGAAAAAAACCCTCCTCAGGACTCCAACGTGAACACAAACACTAAGATGGCACAGTTGCAAATTCAGTCGCACATCGTCTTTTTAATTGCTGACATTTCACGCGATTACAGCTGACAAGAAAGATATGCACATAGATGGCATATGCAGAGAAGCTTGCTAATAAGATCTTTTTTGGCTGATGTGAGAAGACAGTCTAGACTTGGAGGCCATCATTATTAGGTATGAGGCCATCACTATTGGGCTGGCAGCCATCGCTATTAGGCCAGAGGCTATCACTATTAGGTATGAGGTCATCACTATTGGGCTGGCGGCCATCGCTACTAGGCCAGAGGCCATCGCTAGTAGATTGGAGGCCACTGCTGCGGGCTGGAGGCCATCGATTAGGGTTAGAGGCCGTCGCTATTGGGTTTCAGGCCATCGCTATTGAGTTGGAGGCCATTGCTTCTAGTCTAGGTAGGCTGATGTTTGCACTGTCCTCTCTTCTGATTCCTCCTTCATTTTAGTTTGCCCTCTCTTCTTTACCCTTCTTCTTCCCCTTCCCCCTTCCGGCCTCCCCTCTCATCACCTGGCATCCTAGGTCTCCCACCTCTCCCTCCCGGCTGTTACCTTTCCCATCTCCCATAACCATCCAGGCGCCCTTCTCCGCCTTCCTGCTTTTCTCTTCCTCTTTCCTTTGGCATGTATCCTCTACTCTCACTCTTTCTTTCTTTTTGTCTTTCCTTGTTCTTTCCTTGCTCTGCTCTTTCCTCTCTTCTGATTCCTCCTTCATTCTAGTTTGCCCTTCTTCTTCCCTTCCCCCTTCAAGCCTCCCATCTCATCACCTGGCATGTGCCATCTTAGTGTTCCTTCATCCTAGGTCTCCCACCTCTCCCGCCTCTTACCCTTCCC